CTTTAATCATCATGGTCATCATTGTGCTAGGGTCGGATGGTTTCATGTCAGCCAATGGCTAGTACTTTGTTAAGGTGGCAGGCTTAACTGATTTCTCTTTCATTGTAGTCAATCTGGTAAAGTATCCTCCATACTTGGGGATTTAATAGCTCAATATTCTTTTTAGTTGTACTGCCAATATCACCAATGTATGGGTTGACTTCCATCCATTCCAAAAGGACATGTTTGCTCCAAAATTGTTTGAAATTATCTGTATCAATCTAGATACAACAGCAGAAGCCTTGAACTCCAGCAGTATAGTCCCAAGCGATATTTGTAGAGGTAAATAATTGTTGATAACTAAGTTGGTGATTCAGTAATCTCTTAGAGGGGAAAGATCACAATTGTTATTTTTCACACCTCTATGAAAATGGAATGTTAGTATAGTCACATTTTTCGTTTGGATGACATTTTTTGACAAATTAGTTTAAAAAGCATCATATTTTGTATCACATGATGACTTTATAAATTGAGGTACATTGAATATAATTGCATGTGCTTCTATCAAAATATGTACTATAGGTATTATCTTTTAACAAAGTTTTTTTTTATTGTAATACTATGTAATCAATCTCAAACTAGATATCAGCAACTCGCACAGATATTAAGACATACATACATTAGAGATATATAAGAAGTTTCACAGATTTAAGCATATGAGTGACCATTAAGGGGTTTCAAAGGTATAAATCATCAAGACAATACTATTTGAAATCTAATATAGTATCATGTAACACTACTTTGAAAAGATCTTTAAGTAATACAGAATTCCTGCTCTATGCAGCCATTTTGAATCTTAAGGCATGAATTAGGAAAAACAATACTTTAACAGTGACCTGCTCTCACATTCCTTCAAATTGAATATAAAATACGCATACTTTAAAGATCACAAAATTATTGCGAAATCCCACACTAGGCGGCCATTTTGAATTTCAGGAGGCCCGAATCAGAAAAATGATACAATATTTGCAATCTACTCTTAATTACCTTTCATTTGAGTATAATAAAGCTATACTTCAGAAAGATCTCAAAATTCCTGTTTTCCAGACCCCTCCCCCCATTCACGGCCCCTGGGGGTCAGGCTGAAAACACGCAATGTATGTTAAATTAAACCTTTGTTCTCTCTATCTCTCCAAAACACATATTTCTCAGTGGTCTAATAATTTTTAATGAATGTTAACATGTTATAACTTTCAAAGTGCCACGCCCCCTTTGAAATTAATTACATAATTATATGGTGCGATTAAAAAAAAAGCTCAACATATATGATTTTGCAGATTATTTCATTTTAAAGAATACATGTGTAGCAATAGAAAAATGCACAGAAAAAAACTTTATACCTTAAAACGACCTTTAGCCTGTCAGAGGTATTTGGCAACCGGACTATATATTAAAAAGTTCAATTTAGCACATAAGTATACACGTAGTTCAATTTGGCGCATTATTTATGATGTTCAAAGTACATCCTTACAGTGAAAGATTAAACTTGGCTCATGAGTATGTTTCAATTTGGGGCATAGTATGTCATGTGCTCCAAGTACATCAGTATTTTAAAAAGTTCAATTTGGCGCGTAAGTATAGATCAATTTGGCACGCTATTTATTATGTTCAAAGTTCATCCTTGTATTGAAAGGTTAAACTTGGCTTATGAGTATGTTTCAATTTGGGAATAGTCTGTGACATGCTCTAAGTTCATCAGTATATTAAGAAGTTCAATTTGGCGCATTGGTTTAGTTCAATTTGGCGCATTATTTATGATGTTCAAAATACATCATTATATTGAACGGTTAAACTTGGCTCATGAGTATGTTTCAATTTGACTTCTGGGACATAGTATGCTATATGCTCTAAGTTCGTCAGTAAGTTCAATTTGGCGCATTATCATAGTTCAATTTGACGCGTTATTCATGATGTTCAAAGTACATCCTTACATTGAAAGGTTAAACTTGGCTCATGAGTATGTTTCAATGGGACATAGTATGTGATGTGCTCAAAGTTCATCAGTATATTAAAAAGTTCAATTTGGCGCATTATCATAGTTCAATTTGGCGCGTTATTTATGCTGTTCAAAGTACATCCTTACATTGAAAGGTTAAACTTGGCTCACGAGTATGTTTCAATGGGACATAGTATGTGATGTGCTCCAAGTTCATCAGTATATTAAAAAGTTCAATTTGGCGCATTATCATAGTTCAATTTGGCACGTTATTTATGATGTTCAAAGTACATCCTTACATTGAAAGGTTAAACTTGGCTCACGAGTATGTTTCAATGGGACATAGTATGTGATGTGCTCCAAGTTCATCAGTATATTAGAAAGTTCAATTTGGTGCATTAGTATAGTTCAATTTGGTGCATTATTTATGATGTTCAAAGTACATCCTTACAATAAAAGGTTAAACTTGGCTCATTAGTATGTTTCAATTGGGGATATAATATGTGATGTGCTTCAAGTACATCAGTATATTAATAGGTTCAATTTGGCGCATTAGTATCGTTCAATTTGGCGCATTATTTATGATTTTCCAAATACATCCTTACATTGAAAGGTTAAACTTGGCTCATTAGTATGTTTCAATTTGGGACATAGTATGTGATGTGCTCTAACTTCATCAATATATTAAAAAGCTCAATTCGGCACATTAGTATTGTTCAATTTGGCACATTATTTATGATAAATTGTACATGTAACCTAATGTTTTCGTTCAGCGCTATCCCTCATCCTTCATAATATTTAATCCCGGGGATTTTATACTGATTCCTTATTGTATTTCATACATTTGAATATTGTTTTCTTTTTAAAATTTAAAAATGCATCATCATCATCAACTTATGCCACATAATTATACAACAATTAATTTTCCTCCACATGGCTTCACTCTAAACCTCCAAACCCCGTCCCTGACTAGGGGTCTAATTTGTCATATAGGATGTCAGGATTGTCTCGATTTAAAACTGACAAAGAACAAAGATATCACGATACGCTTTACCTCATTTTAATTTTAACTACACCAAAATTGCTGCTGATTTTTGGTAAGACTAAAAACAAACTTCAAATTAATACGCACTTATTTTACTCAAAATGGAGAATAAATAATTTACCGATTTATATTTGAAATATATCCAAATTTTTCATTCCACTTTTTGTATTGCCTTACATATTTAAAATATATCTAAAGTTCATTTAAAATCATATACTTCAACATCATAAAATTTTAGATGAGATCTCAGACATTAAGTTTGATTAAGCTTTCTTAAGTGAAATGCATGATTTTATTTGTTTACATTAGCGCTTAATTGAAAAATAAAATAGGATTAACTCCAAGCAAATTAAGGCACATCAAAGTATGTATAGCCTCGAGTATAAGAGGCGTATAGTTTGTTTTTGGATTACGTAATACATACTATACTCATCTTTTCTATGTACTTATATCCTACTATTCCTGGCTCTTAAGAATAATCGGAGAATAGTTCAAACGATATTTAGTATCGTAGAGTATATACCACCAATACTAAATGTTCCGCTTCTGAGGCAAGAATAGTTTGTTTCCCATACCGAATACAATATAGTGAGGACATACTGAACTATATTCACAAATAGTTTGCCACTTATACGCTACTATATTTGGCTTTTTGCACAGTGATCCCAATACAGTTATATTCATGGTATGACCCTAATACAGTTATATTCATGGTATGACCCTAATACAGTTATATTCATTGTATGACCCAAATACAGTTATATTCATGGTATGATCCCAATACAGTTATATTCATGGTATGACCCTAATACAGTTGTATTCATTGTATGACCCTAATACAGTTATATTCATGGTATGACCCTAATACAGTTATATTCATGGTATAACCCTAATACAGTTATATTCATTGTATGACCCAAATACAGTTATATTCATGGTATGATCCCAATACAGTTATATTCATGGTATGACCCTAATACAGTTATATTCATTGTATGACCCTAATACAGTTATATTCATGGTATGACCCTAATACAGTTATATTCATGGTTTGACCCAAATACAGTTATATTCATGGTATGATCCCAATACAGTTATATTCATGGTATGACCCTAATACAGTTGTATTCATTGTATGACTCTAATACAGTTATATTCATGGTATGACCCTAATACAGTTATATTCATGGTATGACCCTAATACAGTTATATTCATGGTATGATCCCAATACAGTTATATTCATGGAATGACCCTAATACAGTTATGGTATGACCCTAATACAGTTAAATTCATGGTATGCAATCATGGGTAAAAATCACATATGGGGTCATAAAACTGCATCTAAATCGCGATTCACAACAATTAACCTATCTGTTTATGGTCTATTAAGTGGAATCAAATATTTACCTACCCTATTCACCCATGGCTGACGAACAACCTAGATATAATATGTAAGTATCCTAAAAAAACACAAAGCACATTCCACAAACTGAATATACTATCAATAATAAGCTAGGTCGATGGACTTAAAAGATAGACCCTTCATTTTGAAATTATTTGCCAAAATCTCACATTTTTTTACCCAATCATGTGGATTTTACCAGAGAGTACTGTTTGATCCCTGCCTTTGATAGAGGGGGTTGGTATAGTAAAGATGATGTTATTATGAAGGGATGTAATGAAGAGAATATATTCTCATTATTAAAACTGTTGATAAATTTTTGCCATCCCTAACTATTCTAAATTATTGATTGATACGTTTTTTTCATGTTGTTCAAACTCCAACTTTGAAATTAATTTATCAGATATTTAATCTGTTGATTGAAAATATAACCAATGTGTCATTGTCATGCAATCAGAGATACAGTTTTTTATGTTTAAGGTTAGCGTATATTGTGTTAAAATATATAGTAGAATGATAAATATGTTTTGAAATCCTGTTAACCAAGAATTCAATTTTCAATTGATATCTTTTGTAGGTTCGCTGTTAGTGCTGTGTATTTTGGCCTAACTCTGAATGCCGGAAGTTTAGGTGGAAACATGTACATAAATATAGCATTATCTGGACTGGTTGAAATTCCAGCATACCTGGTCACAATTTATACTCTGGACAGGTAAGGGTTAAGATCATATCTGACTTGAAAGAGTTAACATAAATATAGCATTATCTGAACTGGTTGAAATTCCAGCAAAGTAGTCACAATTTATACTTTGGACAGGTAAGGGTTAAGATCATATCTGACTTGAAAGAGTTAACACAAATATAGCATTATCTGAACTGGTTGAAATTCCAGCATACCTGGTCACAATTTATACTCTGGACAGGTAAGGGTTAAGATCATATCTGACTTGAAAGAGTTAACACAAATATAGCATTATCTGAACTGGTTGAAATTCCAGCATAGTAGTCACAATTTATACTTTGGACAGGTAAGGGTTAAGATTATATCTGACTTGAAAGAGTTAACACAAATATAGCATTATCTGAACTGGTTGAAATTCCAGCATACCTGGTCACAATTTATACTTTGGACAGGTAAGGGTTAAGATCATATCTGACTTGAAAGAGTTAACACAAATATAGCATTATCTGAACTGGTTGAAATTCCAGCATACCTAGTCACAATTTATACTTTGGACAGGTAAGGGTTAAGATCATATCTGACTTGAAAGAGTTAACACAAATATAGCATTATCTGAACTGGTTGAAATTCCAGCATACCTAGTCACAATTTATACTTTGGACAGGTAAGGGTTAAGATCATATCTGACTTGAAAGAGTTAACACAAATATAGCATTATCTGAACTAGTTGAAATTCCAGCATACTTGGTCACAATTTATACTCTGAACAAGTAAGGGTTAAGATCATATCTGACTTGAAAGAGTTAACACAAATATAGCATTATCTGAACTAGTTGAAATTCCAGCATACTTGGTCACAATTTATACTTTGGACAGGTAAGGGTTAAGATCATATCTGACTTGAAAGAGTTAACACAAATATAGCATTATCTGGACTGGTTGAAATTCCAGCATAGTAGTCACAATTTATACTTTGGACAGGTAAGGGTTAAGATCATATCTGACTTGAAAGAGTTAACACAAATATAGCATTATCTGAACTGGTTGAAATTCCAGCATACTTGGTCACAATTTATACTTTGGACAGGTAAGGGTTAAGATCATATCTGAATTGAAAGAGTTAACAAGGTAATGGACTATGGCGGGCCTCCCAGCTGACTTTAGAAAATATATTGGATTTTAATAACTTTGTTATCTTGTGTTGTGTTAGCTGTTAGCATCAAGTTCAAATATTGCAGCTTGAAAATTTCTTGTTTTGCTGTTATTATTGGAAGATTAAAGCATGGGCTTTATTATGTTTATGTTTATTTCCTTTTTTTAATTCACACAAATATACAATGCATGAGTGGTTGACACTTTAAAAAGTGTATATTCCCAACAGATTTTTACAAAATCATCATCCAATTGAAAGTCCATGATAAAAGGCAATACCCGTTTTTACCATGAGCAAATTAATTAACATCATTAAGAGTTTTCCTACTGCATGCATTCCTAGTACCAATACTTGAAAGAACTAACAGCAAGTGTTTGTAAGACAATACTTTGTTCATACTATATTGTGTTTTCCAGCTTTGGACGCAAGCTTAGTTTGTGCTGTGTGTCGCTGATAGGTGGCGTGTCATGTATGGCTATTCTATTCACTCCCCCAGGTACATAGAAAGTCTAATTTACAATACAATTATTTGATTGTTCCCATTTGAAATATTCCATTAAACAGTGAAATGAACACAGGTATTATGAATATTTAAAATTATATCTTCTTTCACATAGGCGTAGCCAGGGGGTGGGGTGCGATGGGTGCGATCCCCCTTTTAACTAATAAAAATAACACCGTGACAGATGAAGAAAAGAGCTTTAAAATGCTTTATATTTGAAGCGCTTCTATCTCAATTTTGAAGGAATTTTGTAAAATTCAAAATAAATCTTATTTCTTGGCTTGTATATGCCACAATGGCACCCCCCTGACTGAAAAGCAAACTTTTTTGCCCTTGTTTCATATGATCAGAGCAAAAAAACATTGCCTCTTCAGTTCTGTGAAGCATATGTATTATATAACAAATGCTTTATTTTAAATGTTATTCATTATGTTTGAAAAGTATAATTAGCCCAACCCTTTGCTCCATTGTTGTAATTTCAGAGTTCACTTATAGGATAACATTACTTGCCCTTGGAGGAAAGATAACCATATCTTCAGCATATTCTGTTCTGTTTCTCTATTCATCTGAGTTATGTCCAACAGTTGTAAGGTAAGATATAATTTTTATCCTATAGTTCATATTTAATTACTTTATTCATGCAAACATACATATACATATTGTACTTAATGTACATCATGTTCATATTTTATGGCTGAGATATTAAAAAAACATATTTTTACATTCAAGCAATTTTGTTGTTTTGTTAGAGTGTTAAGTTTTCAATTATTTGGCATCTAGTTTTTTGCTGTCTATGGTTTCTTTGTACCAGTAAGTGTCATACAATGTACAATTTTCGCAAAATGTATCTCGTTTGTATCACCTAATCTCCTCATATTTTCTTTACTACGAGGATGAAGCCCTTGCAATCTGTACTGTCTCTGTAGTATGTAAACTTTTACATTCCACACTTTTCTTGCAACTTCACTTTAAACTGCACAAAATGCATGTCATTGTAATTTCTTTTCATTGGGGTGTGCACTCTATTTTTTATAATTATGATTTTTCAGAAATGCGGGCCTCGGTCTTTATTCAGTATTTTCAAGGATAGGTGGCATTGCTGTACCATTGATTATATCATTGGTAAGAATGACCTCATATTTATTTGTTTATCTTTTTGTTTGTTTGTTTGTTTTCACAACCAGTCCTAGATCTTCTCCCCAACGCATTTGTTCTTTTGAATTTGTTCAAATAAAGTGTCATTTATCGCTTATACAATTTAAAGTCACATCACGAGTGGAATTATGTTTAGAATGGAATCATGGAATCATTATTGTACGAGGGGTGATCAATAAGTAATGGACGCTTTTTTACACAGATACTTTTTATACACCAATCCCTTTGATTTTCCTACCAGTGATACATCATTCAATTATCTATCAATTCTGAAGATTTGAAGACAAAATATATAATACTTATTGATATATCCTTATTTCCGTGAAGGAGGTACAGGTACCCCGGGACCGACATTTACGTCACATATTCAGTTTTTAGCCAGTTTGGTGAATTTCAGTTAGATTGGAACTTTTTATGTGCAACAAGTGTTGTGTTGTTTGAAATTTTTTGCTGACTGGTAACACATAAACAGAAAGTATTGTGATGTCAGAGTGTTGTATGGAAGGGGTTTGCAGGTCAATTTGAGAAAGCATTGTGGAAGAAAGGGGTGGTGAGAGAAGGGAACACCCTACTCCATATGGACAATGCACCTGCCCACAGATCTCAAAATGTTCAGAAAACAATATCCCTGGAACTCAAGATCGAACCCTTGGCCAATGCACCATATTATCCAGATCTGCTCACATGTGACTTGTTAATTTCTATACTACTTATTTCTATAGAGAAAGGATGCAGGTTTATTGACATTGATGAAATAAACATGATAAAACAACCCATGCAACTGCATCTTGCTACCGTGTAAGAGAATGGATTCAGCCTTGTCTCACAATCTTGAGTTAAGAGGATGAGGAATTGTGTACATGTAGCACTTTATGGAACCTATTTAGAGGGCCCTGTGGAATGAATGTGGCATGAATACCACATAATGATGATAAAATATTCAAAATCAACTATGGCAAAACAAAATGGGGTAATTCATGAGCATAATGGTTTGTTTTGTACAGCCTGCATTCAACTGCATTGCATGTTAAACAAGCTAAAATAGCTTCAGAATATGTGACGTAAATGTCGGTCCTGGGGTACCTGTACTTCCTTCACAGAAATAAGGATATATCAACCTGTATTATATATTTTGTCTTCAAATCTTCAGAGTTGATAGATAATTGAATGATGTATCACTGGTAAGAAAATCGAAGGGATTGGTCTATAAAAAGCATCTGTGTAAAAAAGCGTCCATTACTTATTGATCACCCCTCGTATATTATAAATGTTAAACATAGATCTTATACAACCCACGGGTTGTCTTTTTTCATGACATTGTGGAGTCTTATTGCCTAAAAAGTTTGAAATAAAGTGAATTGAATTGATATTTTTCAGGGGACAATTTATCCGAATTCACAGTTTGCAATATTTGGTGCCCTGTCTTTTACTGTTGGAATACTGAACTTTATGCTTCCCGAGACGCTCAATCAACCATTGCCAGAAACATTTGACGACCTGTACAAGAAGACTTCTCATAAACAAAGGAAGAATGCATGACATATATAGGCATTGTCTCAAAATTCCATAGATTAAGAATTATTCCATTTGAGAATAATTTTGATCTCACCAAAATAATCTGTAAAATTTTGAGACAGTGTCTATATAGGGATAACACTGATAGACATCCCTTGATTTTTCTCAGCTGGGTACAATTTGAAATTTGACTAATTTTTGAGAGACTATTCCAATAAATCATTAGAATGGCATGTTATAGTTCATCATTCAGTTTCTTATATAATACATTTGCCCAGTTTCTCTAATGGTACATCACCCAGTTTATCTAAATAAGTGAGATTTCAGAGGCTATGAAAATGTTCAACATATTTAAAAAATTTTGAACTTTCCACTTTATTCTTTTTTTTCTTCTTTTTTTATCACTTATTCAGTAATCTGTTTAAGAATTATGCAAAAGTACTTTTACAATTCATTGTCAATACTCAATGTTAATATAAATATTGAGAAAATCACGATTCTATTTATATAAATTTATAGATCAATCTACACAGTCATATTTTATGATTTTATTCAAAGATGGCAGAATAACAATAATCATCATATACTGAAAAAAAAATCTTACTTAAATTTTACTGAGATATTTTTTATAATAAGGCTTGTTATTAAATTGTATTGTTAATTTTGAAAAATTGTAAACATATCATGTTTTTGTGTCACCACCATTTATATAATGATACATACATATGAAGACATTGTACATTTATATAATAATACATACATATGAAGACATTGTACATTTATATAATAATACATACATATGAAGACATTGTACATTTATATAATAATACATACATATGAAGACATTGTACATTTATATAATAATACATACATATGAAGACATTGTACATTTATATAATAATACATACATATGAAGACATTGTACATTTATATAATAAAACATACATATGAAGACATTGTACATTTATATAGTAATGCATACATATGAAGACATTGTACATTTATATAATAATACATACATATGAAGACATTGTACATTTATATAATGATACATACATATGAAGACATTGTACATTTATATAATAATACATACATATGAAGACATTGTACATTTATATAATAATACATGCATACAAAGTACCATACAGTACCATTTTGGCTGCAGTACTGTATGGTACCATAAAATATGGTATGGTACTGTAGACCCAAACAGTACTGTATAATATACATACGAGGGGTGATCAATGAAATTTTCATGGTGTGTTCATTTGGGTTATATTGTGTGAAAAAATCACTGAGAGAGGATATAAAACTGTATAAATAGAGCCAACAGTCTAGAAATTCCTGATCACCCCTCGTATTCACATTGAACACTGTACAGCATCATACCCGTATAGTTTCAGTATGGTGTCATAATCTTAAGTTTAGTATATACAATGATTTCAGAGTGTGGATATACATGTACCATTACAGTAAAACCTGTATGTATTTAACACCTGGAACTTGCCAAAAGTGTTCAGATTAGTAGGTGTCACATTTCAAGGTTTTTTAACATGTAAATCAAGGAGAGATTTGAGACAGAGGAAAAGTGTTCACTTTGAGAAGTGATTGGATTAGAGAGGTGTTCAGATACACAGGTTTCACTGTATTCATAAATTATTGAAATAACACATTAAATAAATGCATATATTTATATGATAATAGATTGACTTAAAACACATACAGTGAATAACCATTGATGATGATGCTTCAAAAATGTCTTTCTATGTTACTGTTATTTAAATTGAGATTGATTTTTTGAAAATGTGAACATTTTAGTTTAGTTTATTTATTTATACTAGGTTATGGTGTAGGAGTTTGGGGATTTTTAAGTGTCTGATGGGTTAATCATAGGTCAAGGGAAAAGTAGTATGAAGCTAAATATATAGAAGATCTGATCTTTTATATTGTGGCTTTCCCTCGGCCTATGGTATTAATGTAAATTTCTAGTCAATTGGACAATCACTTTTGCTTTGATCTTATTACTTTACAACTTATTTGTTACATTAATGAGATTAGAAGGGGAGATCGAGAGTGTGAAATTGTGGTAGCAACCTTTTCAAAAATGCATGCCAATGTTGCCCTTGCAGTCCAAGGAGGATTGGCTCACAGAGTGCAAGATCGATATTCTGTCATATATGGGCATGTCATGATACAAGATTCGAATTCAAACAGCCGCCATTTTGTTCACTTCAACATTTGAATCATGAATTTTGGTCTTGTTTCCTAGCGAAAAATTCCCAAACTCACAAGAAATGATCGAGATTTTGGTTTGAATCTTTTGAACTGTTTATTTTGAATTAATAGTCAGTTTTAATTTCAGAAAATAATGACATTTCAACGTTTTCATTGTTGGAAAATATCAATGTTCGATCCTGGGAGCCAATCCTCCTTGCTTGCAGTCCTTACAAACTTTATTTCTGTTATTGAGACTCCAGGTCAAATAAAGACATCATTGAAGTTTTCAGATGAAGAAATGGCCAATGATTTCTTTAGGATTGGAAATGGGGATGTACATGTAGTATCTATTTTTATCATAAATTTATTTTGCCAAATTACCTTAAAATGAAGGAATAGCCTGAAATAAGGTAAGAACTAAATAATTATATATATTGAGAATATAGATTGCGAAAGAAACTTTCAATTTGACTCTATCCTTTCTAGTCCCTTTAAGTGTATTCTAACTATTTTATGTAAGGTATGGGATATAAGCACTTGTATCAAATTAAGAATATACAGGGTGGGCCAAAAAAACACCCCCCTAGCCATTATTTCTGATAAATAAATGATAAATTTTGTTGCAAATTAAATTATCTTTAAAATGATATATCATTGTTGGTGTACATGTTAAAAAAGTAGTATTTGTCAGAAATAATGTCTAGGGGGTGTTTTTGGCCCACCATGTAGTATGTCTTTTTAATTATCATTGTAATATGGTAAAGGTGTCTAAATATATATTTGCTCAAATACAGTCTTGGAGATGTTATCAAAATGGTGTTTATTCAATTCTATATTTTTTGTAGACAGTACTGCAGTGTTCTCCACAGGATTTTTCTCAAGTGGGTGCAAAATTCTCATTTTCACAATTTAGACCAATTTTTTCCTTTTTTATCTCAAAATATCCCAATTTTTTATGATTTTTCTCATTTTCAAGTGGGTGCAAATAGATTTTTAGGTGGGTGCAAGCCTGTTCTGAAATCTCAGTTGGGTGCTGCGTCTACTTGCTTTAATGCTGGGGACATGGGGGAGATCACTGAGTAGTGACTGACTGATATTCAAATACTGAAATTGTTTGAGGTATCAATAATATGAGTACCTTGACTATATCCAGGGTGTCAAATGAGTTCTGCCCCCCCCCCGCTACAGCTAAAAGCTTAAGATGGTACCTAGTGTGATATACCATTGGAAAGTTACATTACCATCACCAATTCTGAACTATTTTCGATGGAATTTACTCATATTTTCATGATGTCCTTAATAGTAAGTGTGCCAATCACCAGGAGCTTTCACTGTATCAAAATGGGTAGGATAAGCCTGACCTCAGCAATGTTAAAAGATCTTCACCACCATCCATTGCCCCTCTATATGCTACATAACTCACCACTATCCATTGCCCCTCTATATGATACATATCTCACCACTATCCATTGCCCCTCTATATGCTACATAACTCGCCACTATCCATTGCCCCTCTATATGCTACATATCTCACCACTATCCATTGCCCCTCTATATGCTACATATCTCACCACTATCCATTGCCCCTCTATATGCTACATATCTCACCACTATCCATTGCCCCTCTATATGCTACATATCTCACCACTATCCATTGCCCCTCTATATGCTACATATCTCACCACTATCCATTGCCCCTCTATATGCTACATATCTCACCACTATCCATTGCCCCTCTATATGCTACATATCTCACCACTATCCATTGCCCCTCTATATGCTACATAACTCACCACTATCCATTGCCCCTCTATATGCTACATATCTCACCACTATCCATTGCCCCTCTATATGCGTCATAACTCACCACTATCCATTGCCCCTCTATATACTACATATCTCACCACTATCCATTGCCCCTCTATATGCTACATAACTCACCACTATCCATTGCCCCGCTATATGCTACATATCTCACCACTATCCATTGCCCCTCTATATGCTACATAACTCACCACTATCCATTGCCCCTCTATATGCTACATATCTCACCACTATCCATTGCCCTTCTATATGCTACATATCTCACCACTATCCATTGCCCCTCTATATGCTACATATCTCACCACTATCCATTGCCCCTCTATATGCTACATATCTCACTCTATCCACAAATTGGTTAAATTCACTGCCATACACATATGGTGTCTTGTTGCCAAGATCACTTCTTGCCTGTAGTTGCTTCAATTGATAAAATGTAGCAATCTGTGACATTGAATGACAGGTATATGCCAATTACGAAAATTTGGATGATCTTTCCAATGATATATCACACACATTTTGATTTTGGCTGTAGAGGGGAAGGGGTAGGACTTATTTGAGACCCTGTATTGATAGACCAACATTATTATCTTGCTACAGTGAAGAACTATTTAAAACAAATACGGCTTAATTATCCCAACGAACGAAGTTCTGTAGGGATACAGTGAAGCCCTCCATCCGTCCGTCAGTCAGTCAGTCCGTCTGTCCGGAAGATAACTCGAATACTAGTTGACAGATTTTCTTCATAATTGGTGGAATGATGTATATTGGTGAACAGTTTTACGCAAAACATTTTTTTTCAAGATGGCTGCCAATTTAAAAATGGCGGAAATCTTTCTCAAAAATCTTATGTTTTTCATTTTAAACCAAAATAATAAATATTATTATTTAAAATTTTGGTAGTATATTAACATCATCTATCTATTTCACATATATCCTGGGTTTTTCACCCTGACCCCCAGGGGTCGTAAATGGGGGATCAGGAAAACAGGAATTTGCGTTAATTTTGAGATGTTTTTGAAGTATAGCTTTATTATACTCAAATGAAAGGTAATTTAGAGTAGATTGCAAATATTGTAACGTTTTTCTGATTCGGGCCTCAAAAAATTCAAAATGGCCGCGTAATGCGGGATTTCGCAATTGTTTTCTGATCTCTTAAAAGTATGGCTATATGATACTCAAATTGAAGTAATTTCAGAGTAGATCACAATTATGGCATTGTTTTTCTGATTTGCGCCTCTGAAAATTAAAAATAGCTGACAAGAGCAGAAATTAGCCATTACTTAGAGTTATCTTGAAAGTATGGTTACATGATTTAAAATATTTATTGAAGGTAAGAGTAGATGGTAAATATTACATTGTGACTGTTCAGATTGATGATTTATATAATGTTCGTTGGGATTTGCTACTCCGTGGAGTTGCCATTTTCTAGTATATAATCCATACTGTCATAGTTTTACATCGCAATGTTTTCAATCAAAAGATAAGATTAATTGGGCAATAAATGCTAGCCACAATTAGTAGTAGTGACAGGTTTTTTCTTACACTGAGATCATAGAGCAACCCTCCATTTCTTCAATATTTTTCTTAAATGGAGGTAAATTGCTCTGAGATTTGGCACACAAGCACTTCATTCAATGTGGGATTCTCTGGCAAAGTTTTAATAATAATAGTCTTATATTGATAGAGTAATGGTTGTTTCAAAATATGCTCCAGATATCGTCAATTTCGCTGAAAACAAACTTGCAATGTTCAAGGAAAACTGTTCATAACACATGCATTTTTCCCCATGGGTATGGTTCAAATTTTTGCAGTCATTGCTTGTTGGAGTTCTGCAATTGCGGTAGGGTTATTTTCATACACATTATCCTTAACCCCATATATAGAAGTCAGGGGCATTGAGATCAAGACGTTGGGATGACCATGGGTTCTCCATCCTAGGAGAGATAATCTTCTCATAGAAATGACTAGTGAGCCTGTTGAAGCCTATTTGTCATTCTAGAACTGCCTAGAACTTTCTAGGGACACCAATATTGCGCTGTGTGTTAACAGTAACAGTGTTGCCATTATCAACCTCAAACTAAAAGGGGCTGATGATTTCATGTTTGGAAATTGGCAGCCCAAGCTGTGCATTTAACAGAATGAAGGGGCCTTTGAAGCACTTCATCTGGAATTTGTGATCCCAGAACACATTATTTCTTGAGTTTACATGTTCTGAAAGAAGGGAATGTGATTCATCCGAAAACCTAACATTGGAAATGGACGACATTTGGAGCATATTTTGGAATGACCATAACTCTATCAATATAAGACTATGATTATTAAAACTTTGCCAGAGGATCCCACATTAATTGAAGTCCTTGTGTGCCAAATTTCAGAGCAATTAACCTCCATTCAAGAAAAATATTGAAGAAATGGAGGGTTGCATTTTTTTGGGTCACCCTGTATAAGGAATAAAAAATGACCGGCCGTTCAATATGTTGAAATTGAGCGCGAAATGGCAGAATGTCCTACAAAGCACGAACCTTAAGTTATATAGTAGAACCTGTGTAGTTGGAACGCCCTTAGGACTAGGGAAAAGTGTGGCACTTGGAAGGTGTTCCACTTGAAACACAGTTTCATTAACATGAGGTCAATTGGCCACAGGACTTTTACAAAAGCGTTCCGCGTTGTGAGGTGTATTTGGGCAAAATGTCATCCAAAGCATGGACCTAAAGTGAACCTAGAGTGTACTGACATTCTGCCCAAACTTATCAAATGAAGATCGGCGAGTGTAGCAAATAGCAGGTGGTGACATTTTGCATGCAAATGCCTTGTTTGTAGTCACGATTTTCTTGCTGTCAGTTCTTGGCAGGCCCGTAGCCAGCGGGGGGAGGGGGATCGTGCGAGCCCCCCTCTCCCAGATATCTCCTAAAATCTGTTTTTTGGCTTTCTTTTCGTTATTTTCGTTTATTTCGAGGTAGAAGGTAATATTTGGTGACATATGTACGTTGCATTTTGATGTGTTATTTCCAATTTCTTTTTCTAAACATTCCATATTGACTAGACTAAGGTAGATACCAATGCTTTTTGATACTCAACTTTTTGGCAATTAAAAGTCCCTGCCTGCATTTAGTAGTCATATATTGTCATGTGCATGATTTTGAAACCTTATCCTAATTATTTCAAAGCTTTTGTTGATTCTGCAATAGTTTCCAATTTGTAAACAGCATTATTCGAGTTTCCTTCCAAATCAACCAAATAATAGTCATTTTAAAAAATTTGGCATTATTTTAGGTTTGGGCCCAAATTTTCTTGTTAATAACACCCTTGTAATTACAATGCAAGTCGGTTAAAAATTGTATGTATGGGTGGGGGGGGGGGTTCGACCCCTTTTACCAAAAGCTGGCTACGGGCATGCTTAGTTCAGATTCTACGCGTTCACTTCATGGAATGATGCAGTTCTTTTCATTTCATATTTCCATGATGCGAAATAGAAAAGTTGTACATTTATTTTATATAGTTTCTTTCAATGATATGAATAATATTGCCAAAATATTTCATTGTCGCCACACCAGTATATTAGCTCTATTGTGAGTGCACATTGGGGAATGAAAGTATTGAAATATAAAGATTGGCATTTATATTTAATAAATCCTCATTGTTACTGGCTATCACAATAGGATTATGGGAAACGATTAAATGCCTTTGCAAAATGAAAAATTAATCGCTTTTAGAAATGTAATTCTATTCTCTTCGCTGTATTTTGCATTTATTTTGAGGCCCTATGTAGAGTTTGGAAATATTAAATCTTTGAATTATTTTCAGTCGTGCTACAGGACTTGTAATATTGTCTAGTTATGTACAAGCACGTGTGAAGCCCCCTCCCCACCCCCACCCCCACCCCCATGACACACCACCACTGATGATGGAGTGGATAACTGGTCCAGAGTCTCGAAGCAATGTGGCATAATTCTCTTTTTCAAAATTTTCCCTTCTTTTGTTAAACTTTCAAAACGAAGCGATCCGATTGGATGCATCCAAAAAAGTATTTATCATGTTTAAAATATATCTGTATCAGTGTTTCCAAAGAGGCATAGATTTCAAAATTCATTATTACAAAAATAATAGTTAAATTTACTCGCAATTTCCAACAAAAATCAATCAGAAACAACTCATTAAATAACAAAACTTTCATATACCAGTACCACCTCATTAAATAACAAAACTTTCATATACCAGTACCACCTCATTAAATAACAAAACTTTCACATACTAGTACCATATTATGATAATGTTACAATTTAGGTCAAAGTGATTCAAACTTTTCACGGGACCTTTAAAGCTTGAACACTTACGGTAAAAATTCAAAGACCAAACAGATCAATAATCCGTTACGTTTTCTAGACCTTATTTATCAGGATGATTTGATTTAGAACTGCATACAGATTGCATTAGGTTAAACATTTAAACATTTACTGTCCAAAATGAGGTTTAAAATGAGACTGCTTGTGGCCTTTTTTGCGATGTGTTTTTTATTTTATTTTTGGACTAACTATCTTTCATACATTTCTAGGACAGTTGAATCGGGCGTTTATCAAGGCAAACATGATAAGATGGAATATACTGCGTTCAATAAGACGCATGTTGTCATCGATAAACGGTTGTTCTTTAAGTTAGTGCGCAGCTATGAAACTGGAAAACTAATGAAAAGAATGACAAAACAAAGTGGAATGGCCAGTGGAAAGGGACAGGAACCAAGATTGGATGGTTTTGATACAAACGATCCTAGTAAAAATGGAAGAACGATGTTAAAGAAAGACCGACCGATATTCTTTCTTAAAACGCACAAGACGGGGAGCTCGACAATCCAGAATATACTCATGAGATACGCCGATAGGCACAATCTGAATTTAGCATTACCGTCAAGACCTCCCTATCAGTTTAAGTACTGGCACCCTTTTCGGAAAAGCAGTGTCATTCCTCTCGTATCGCCAATAGAAACTTATGACATCATGTGCCATCATCTGGTGTACAGTGAAGAAGTTAAATATATCATGCCAAAGGATGCGTATTTTCTTACTATACTACGAGAGCCAAAAAGTGTAAGTACATGGTGTTCCAAAAGTAACAGGACTGGAGCTAGTATTTTGTTATTTCTCCACCTATAGTGTCTCTAAAGTTTTTCTTTCAAGCACTGCTAGTTTAACTGTAAAGTTTCATAAAAATGATAAAATGCGGGTAAAGTAATGGTTACTATAGTAACGTAACATCACAATACCCGGGGCAACTATTCCATGAAGATGTGAAATCTAATAGTTTTGAATTACCACGCTGTCCTAACTTCGACCGTTAATTTGAATTTTGGACCTACCAGGTGCTTGAAAATCAAGGATTGCGAGTCTCATACTGCACCGTTCTTCTTCAAACTTATACCATTTAAAGTAGAACAAAATTGCCTTTGTGTTGGTGCATTACTTTATTGTAAAGAGTCCCTCGTTCTAGCAGCGTTTTGGTCCCCAGCTGTTAGAAGGCCTTCTAACAGCTGGGGACCAAAATGCCGCTGGAAACAGGGACTCCGTTGAGGAGAATAATGTACTATCAGAGAGGGATTTGTGTTATGCTTTGAATGGAACAAGTTTGAAGAAAAACGGTGCAGTATGAGACTCTTAAATCTTGATTTTCAAACATCCGGTAGGTCAAAAATTCAAATTAACGGTCGAAGTTAGGACCGTGTGATTACTGAAGAAGTATCGAATTTACAAAAAAACAAACAACATGTCTTGTTTTTTTACTTTATTGAAATGGTGTTGCTATACAACTCAGATCCAAGCATGATTTCATAATAATAATATTTATTCAATTTCATGGTTGAGTTTTTGAAAATACCCCAAAAGTCCGCATTAAAGGCCACTGCAGCTAGCTGTAGAAGAGCTATATGTAGGCCTTGATATCTTAGACCATGTATCACACTCTTCTGATAATAACTTATATTTACTTGTATGGAAAACGGAATACTAATCCTAGGACCCTGCGTGACATGTCCTCGCATGGGTTAGCTCATGTGTTTGAGTTCGGTTTCAGTCATGGGTCCAGCTTGCTACACTTGTACTTACCAAAGAGCAGCCACTTTTCAAAGTAGATGCATGATTATATATTATTGGATATCAAATGATGTAAAGCAAGTGTAATTTCCACCAGTTGTTGCATTTCAACTTTCATGGGATGTACAAAATGCTTAAAGTCTCTGTAGCTTTCTGTGTGGAATGTTGCCCCTGGTATTGTGATGTTATATCACCATAACAACCATAACAGTACGCATAACTCTACCAGAGTTTCATAATATTTGTAGAAACTTTGGGGGGGCCCTTGGGCCTTCAGGCCCCGAAAAGTGGGCCTTTTTGGTCATTACTCGGCCTTAAAGGCGTTTTTTAAATTTCAGGCCAAATTTTGAAGAAAATGGGCCTCAAAATTTCAAAATTTGGGCCCACTTTAGTTTAGATTTTAGGGGATATTATTAATTTTTTCCGCGGACTGTTTTTTCTGATCTGAAATTTGCCCCCCCCCGTGTTGGTTCCCAGATCCGCCCCTGTTGAGCTACAATGCATGGACGTAGATTATGTAAAACTTTTAAGAGAATTGGTGCATAGCACCGGTGTTACTTTTGGAACGCATTGTAATAATACTGTAAAAAGCAGAAATGTTTTGCTTAAATCATTTAGAGAGTTCGCAAACACATGTAGAACTCGATAAGTATGTTTTTGTGTATTGCTCTACAAACGACACATCATCCCCTTGTAATTTGGATTTTCTATATGCACACCGTATTCCAGGTTTTAATGATTTCTGATAACCACAGTGAAACAAAATTTATAAAAAATCTGAATCACTGGTTGTAAATCAAACAGTTATTTGTTAATTAGTTCTCTCATGTTCGAACACATAATAGGTTTGGGTTCTACGCTATGCATTGATGTACATCAAAAATATTGTTATTGATGGGTGGATAAAGACCACTTTCTTACTCTTTTGCAGCTTTTCGTTTCCTCGTATAACTTCTTTGGAATTGGTGGACATAACTGCAACCGTACAGCAAATGAATTTGTAGAGAGATCCATCCCTGATGATGTGCCACAAAAAAGCTTGTTTCGAACACTCAAGTCCAACTATTCCAAGTGTGGTCCGGGGCAATGGGTGCGTCATGGCGTTCTTTACGACGCAGGGCTATCTTATGACGAAATTGATAATCGAACAAGATTGAATGACATTATCCAGAAATTCGACAAACAATTTGATTTTGTAATGTTGTTAGAATACATTGATGAATGTCTAGTGATGCTCAAGAAACAGTTTGGTTGGAAAATGAAAGACATCCTCTACATTAAGCAGAACGAAGCCTCGTCTTCTAATAAGACCCTACAATATTTATCAGAAAAATCAAAGAAAAAGCTAGATGAATATATGTATCAAGAACACGTCATGTATGACTACTTCAATGCCAGCTTTTGGCGGAGGGTAGACGCATACGGACGGCAACGTTTAGCAAAAGAAGTAAACCTATTTCGACGGCTAAATTCATTCATTGGCAAGTCATGTATTAGCCACCGCACAGACAGAGATAATGTAACTGATAGTTTATTAAAACCATGTTGTAGAGGACTCCGGGGATATGTTTTGAATCCAGCCAAACGCCACGACTGGATGTGCCGTCGTTTAGCGGCAGCCGAATGGGCGTTCACAGACTTACTGAGAAAGAAAATGGTATTACGCAAAGTAATTCCACCGTAGTTACGAGATTAAATAACATAGAGTTACACGTAGGTTTTTAAATCTAGATGACCACCGACAAAATTGATGAAGTCGGAACGCGCTTGTTCTGTTGATTAAATATTTGGCCTTGGTGAACTCACTAATTTGAAACGAGCTGAGAAGGCTGATAATTCACCACTGCAATTTACAGACCTGAGGTCTTTAGAGATCCGCCAGTGATTTTTGACGAACACGAATTACTGGAAAGATATCGTGTGGATTAAATTGCTATATATCAAAACGCATATTGATAGAATCTGCAAGAATGAAGCATCAAATAAAACGATCGCAAGCACTTCCCTTTAATGAAGGTATATTGTTGTAATTATATTCTCAGAAATGTGAACCATCTCCCTTTAATTTCTAGAGGAAACTAGATCCATTTTGCCTTTGCCCGGCTCTACTAATGTAAGGCGCTACAAAATGTTGATGTAAAAACCGGTAAAACCCCGAGGTAAAACCATGACTTAGAAGTAAAAATTCCGGTATTATGGCCATTGTTGATAAAAAACGTGACTCCGAGGTCATGATTTACAAGGGACACTATAGCTAAAATGGGTCAAACTGACATCCCTGCCCTAATAAATGACACGGTCGTCATGGACACAGATTGCGGACACGGAGATTACATGCGGACACCTAATGGATTTGCGGATAGCTTCATGAATACCACGCAACGCAATAAAATGCGGACACGCAATGGGTCCGCAAATACACTACGGACCCGCAAGCTTGCGGATCTTTCATGAATTAGGCCTCTGTCAACCTCTCATATCTTTACGGAAATCTACCGAACATTAATGAACTATTGAAAGACACTTAGCAATAATAAGTCATTGCATATGGTTTAAACGTTGGTAATGCACATTAGATGCTGACATTATACATGTACGAGTATATCAAATATAAGGATTTCCAATGTTTATGTCACCACCAAAAAGTGGTGACATATTGTTATGGTCTCCGTTTTTTGACGGCGGATGGAGGTAGGCGATCGGCGTCCGTAACAAATTCTTACAACTTCCAATAACTTAACAAATACTGTTTAGACTGACTTCAATTTTTTTCAAAATCATCTACATGTTTCCAGAAGTTTTGTCTACATGTTTCCAGAAATTTTACTTTAGATTTGAGATTTATTGACCTTCAATGACCTTCTCAAGGTCAGAAAAGGTCAAAAAGGTATTTTTTAACTTGCTTCAAACTGACCAATGCTTTTTATCGTACCTAAAAAGGTACAATATTGTAGTCAGCTTGACGGGCGGCGGGCGGGCGGGCGGGCGGCGGGCGGAGTCTCACTTTTCAGCTTGTCTACAGGTTTCCAGCCAAACCATTTGAGGGATTCATCTGAAGTTTTCAAGGATGTTTCTACATATCAACGTCAAGAACTGATTAGTTTTGGGGCATTCTGGGTAAATCTTAAGGTGGCCATTTTGGATTTTCCGTCCTAAAATCTTCACTTTCAAGACTTGTCTACAGATTTCCAGCCAAACCATTTGAGGGATTCATCTGAAATTTTCAGGGATGTTTCTACATATCAACGTCAAGAACTGATTAGTTTTTGGGCATTCTGGGTAAATTTTAAGGTGGCCATTTTGGAACTGATTAGTTTTTGAGCATTCTGGGTAAATCTTAAGGTGGCCATTTTGAATTTTCCGTCCTAAAATCTTCAGTTTCAAGACTTGTCTACAGGTTTCCAGCCAAACCATTTGAGGGATTCATCTTAAATTTTCAGGGATGTTTCTACATATCAACGTCAAGAACTGATTAGTTTTTGGGTATTCTGGGTAAATCTTAAGGTGGCCATTTTGGATTTTCCGTCCTAAAATCTTCAGTTTCAAGACTTGTCTACAGGTTTCCAGCCAAACCATTTGAGGGATTCATCTGAAATTTTCAGGGATGTTTCTACATATCAACGTCAAGAACTGATTAGTTTTGGGCATTCTGGTTAAATTTTAAGGTGGCCATTTTGGCTTTTTCCGTCCTAAAATCTTCACTTTCAAGACTTGTCTACAGATTTTTAGCCAAACCATTTGAGGGATTCATCTGAAATTTTCAGGGATGTTTCTTCATATCAACGTCAAGAACTGATTAGTTTTTGGGCATTCTGGGTAAATTTTAAGGTGGCTATTTTGGATTTTCCGTCCTAAAATCTTCACTTTCAAGACTTGTCTACAGATTTCCAGCCAAACCGTTCAAATTTTTACATATGTTACACAGTGATAAGTTCTAGAGCTGATTAACTTTTCTGCGGCCATCTTGGTTTCTTGGTCAACAAGACCACAATGCTGTGTTTTAGGTACGATATTGTTCACGTCTGTGCCTTGTTACAAAATCATCTACAAGTCAACAGAAGTTCAGAACTGACTTTTGATTTGTGATTTGACCTTCACAATGACCTTCTAACGGTAAATAAAGTCAAAAAGGTATTCTTTCAACTTGCTTCATTTTGACCAATTTTTTTCAAAGTTATCAGAAGTTCAAATCTGACTTAAGATATGAGATTCCACCTTCAATGACCTTCTCCGGGTCAAAAAAGGTATTTTTACAACTTGCTTCAAATTGACCAATTTATTTTTTGATTGAACTCATAATATTGTGAGCAACAAGGTGGTGACATTTTGTCTTGTTAATGCCTTGTTATTTTTTATTCGGTTATACTGTATTCGGGTCGAGCACTTATTAAAGAGGGACGCTGTGTAACAATGCATAAGATACTCTGCTTGTCCAATTGTATTGTTTAGTATATTTTTGAAAGTACAGTACCTTATTAATATCTAACGTCATCCGATAAACCATTTATAAGGAACAGACAAATAAAAACAAATAACATAATCATTACTCATAAGCCAAAAGGGCTGCTCATGAACACCCAATGCAAGGTAAAGTAGAGTGTAGTCATTGTTAGTCCGTGTTTGTTTTAGAGATCTCTCACAGAACACAGTTTGAATGCTCAGAACTAATTGTTATTGTTGTTATTGTTATGTTTTATATAATATACACCTGTAAATCAGTTTCTTTATTTAAACATTTTGTCATGTTATATTTCTTAAGGTGATATTCACCCCCCCCCCCTTCATGAGACAATTCCCCGTATACAATCAAGATGTAAAGATTTTTACCAGAACGCCATCTTTCTTTCAATTTAAAAGTTTATTTCTTATTAAGAAAGCAGGATACGCTAGGATATGCCTTCGCCGGGTCTAACCAAACAAAGTCGGTCTTGTTTTTCTTGGCTTCTGCTATCAGCTGAGACATTGCTGAATTGTGTGTTCGATGCAACCAGCAAATCCTGCTATACCGCCCTTTTGTGCTGAAGTGTCAATATAGCTATTCTTGGTGAAGAAGTCGGTCATTCGTCTTGAGATGATAGACCAGAAGATCTTTCCCTCCACACTCAACAGTGAAATCTCCCTAAACTGGTCGAGGGTAGATGACTTCTCTCCCTTTTGAACAAAGCATCCCTCCGCTATCAGCCAAGATGGTGGTAGCTGCTTCAACCTCCATGCCGTTTTTAAAAGCTTCCAGAGTTGGTTGGTTAGTAGCGGTCAACAGTACATATTGTTGACCGCTCATCAACCAATCAGAATTGAGTATTTCAATTGAGGTATTAACAAAAGAAGCTGTATAAGTGAAACGGCTCCACTTACAGAGGCTTCTTTACGTCAACTAGTCAATGGACCACAAGACTTGTGGAAGGATGCAATTTTAATTTTCCATATTTCTATGATATGAAATTGAAATATTTTAATTGTATATTAGCTCCATATTTAAGACACTTTTGGGTTTGAAATTATTGAAATATAAATTAGATTGGTATTTACAATTTAATCTTAATCACTGATTCACTGATACTGGCTATCACAATTGGATTATTGGAAATGACAATTGAATGCCTTTAGAAACTCAAAAAATTAGTCGCTTTTACAAATGTAATCTTATTTTAGATTTAAGATTCAATTTAAAGAAAGTAGAAATTGTATATTAGAATAAGTTTGTTATTAAATCGCGTTTCCATATTTTTGACGTTGAATTTCATTGTTATTTTTTAAAGGTTACACGAGCTTAGATGCGTTTTTGTTATTTCAATACAATTAAAAGTGTTAACCCCTCCTTTGTCCATTTGATTTCTTGTTTATTCTACTCATTCGCTGTGTGCTGCATTTTAAAGGCCCCGTGTAAAGTTCTTAAGTTGTACGAAGCAATCTTATTGGGCTCCTTTCAATCAAAAAGAAGTAATTATGGTGTTAAAAATATATCTGTATCAGCGCAGATTTCAGAATTCATCGACGTAAAAAATAATATTATAATCTTGGAGTAGTAAACTCAGAATTTCCAACAAATAACAAGAAATAACTAATTCAATATACTATATTAGTACCACATTATGATAATGTTACTATTTAAAGTGCCCGATAAACTATAAAATGCGCATGCGTCCAGGTGTTGATAAACTATAAATCGTCGCGTGAGAATAACTTTGTACTAACTGCCATTTTCAAAAAAATTGAGATAGACATGGAATTTTACTATTTGAAACACAGGCTTTCATCTCAGATACATGCCCCATCTCAATTCCCTCTCATTAAGCTAGAATTCAGTGTGAAATTGTACCATCTCCAGACAAACAGCTTATTTCTAATTTCAAATTGTCATATCTGATATCAACTGTTTCAACCAATCAACTCTCTAAGAATTGGTCATGTGACTTGCAAAACTTGGAGTTATAACAATCTTATATTAAAACGAAGTATGCCAATATGCATGTTATTGTATCTAGAATGAAATAATGTTTTGTAACACAATACCATGCCAGTTTGCATGCCTGGCCTTTCATGTTTTAGTTTTAGAACTATTACAAGTAGATCAAAAAAATAAAATGATACAGTATGAGTATGTGTACTCCCATGCATATTCAAATTATATGCCCTCAATTACTCTTTGTATTATGGATGCTCATTGGATTATTCATGGCCACATGATATGAAATAGAATTACTAATTTCCTCGAAAACCTAAATCCTTGCTACCAGGGAAGATGAAAAGTACACATGACCAGTTAATTAGATCATGTGAGCAGTCAAAAGTACCCTTTATCTTCCCTGCTACCAGGTCTTATAGGGGTTTGAATGGCCAAATGCAATAGAAATGCATATA